TCCCGCTTGGCTAGAAGGAGAAGTTAAGAAGTAGATATTGTTTGTTAAGCTCTAATTAGCAGATAAATGTACAAGGGGAAGGGAGTCCAAGTGTTACTGCTGTAGGTGATTAATGTGCTTCTCGCCTCCCTTGTAACCCTTTGATTTAAACCACTTAAGCTGTGGTCTTTATCAGGCACTACAATCCCGGAAATATGGGCTGCTAATTATTTTGGTGAGGCCCTGCTCTCTGTAATGACTCAAGCGCAGGGAGAGGGAGAATAAAGTGTTTCTAGCCATGACAAATGAAGCCCAGAGGACGTGACTAGACATAGTCTCTTTAGGAAAACAACAATAGTAAAAAGCACAGCACCTGTCACAAATTGTTCTTGAGTCTGTTGATGTCATGACCTGGCTGGCCCCTAGTTCCAGTGACTTGATTCTTGTCAAAATCCCTGCTCAGTTCCTTTGAGACTGCAGCCTTTTCCCTGAAATTCTGCTCTAACCCTCGACTTGGAACCAGATCTTCCCCAGCCTGGGATGGTTCCACAATCTGCTGAAACCCAGCTTCCCCTGCCTGAGGTCACCAGCCACCTGTGCACTTCCATCTGACCTGTCTCTGGACCAAGCATCATTCTGACCAATGTCAAGAAATCTGATCATTCCATCTTGTGGAAAACATACAAACTGTGTCAGTGAAGCTTCTCGAGGAGCAGTGAAAGGCAAACCCCTGTGTATGCCCCTTTCCATCTGATACTCTGTCACATGTCACAGTGGCCTGGGATGTTGTTGAGTTCCCATTGGGTGGCTATTTCTAGGAATTAGAGGCTAGAGTCAAGGGCTCTGACATCTCATAGAGCCTCTGTTCTCTATGAAAGTACAACAGAATAGAGTTTAGACAGAATATTAGAAACTTTCAGAATGAGAATCATAAAAATAGCTACTGGTTGTTGAATGTTTACTCTCTTCTGGATAATGTTCTAAGTGCTTACGTGTATTACCAGTTAACTCTGCCATTGACACTATAATGAGGCACTATAATTACCTGCATTATATAGCTTAGGAAACTGAGACACAGAGAAGCTAAGTAACTTTTCCAATGCCACACAGCTGACCAGTGGCAGAACTGGGTTCAGGCTTTTTATATATATATTTAATTGATTTTTCAAAGAGAGGAAAGGAGAGGGATAGAGAGCTAGAAACATCGATGAGAGAGAAACATCGACCAGCTGCCTCCTGCACACCCCGCATCCCGCAGCCAATGTACATGCCCTTGACAGGAATCAAACCTGGGACCTTTCAGTTCGCAGACCGACGCTCTATCCACTGAGCCATACCGGTTTCAGCTCAGGCTTGTTTTTATTTTCAAGAAGCTAAACACATTCTCTATTCATTAGGCATCTAGAATGAGTTCATGAATGAACAGAGAATGTTTTGCTTGTATTCAACCCAAAATACATTTTCATTATTACTGGGGTTGTACTGCACTGTCATTTTGCCAGTTTTCATATATTAGTGTGTCAATCAATGGTTTAATGTGGATTTAGCAGGGAGCATTGGCCAAGAAGGTTGGAGTGCTTGGGATGGCCCTTGGGTGCCCAGCCTTCCCTGAGGGAGGGGGCAGGTGTGAGATGGCACTAAGAGGCCCTCTCCTTCACTATTTTGGGCTGGGGACTGCTTGCAGCTAAAAGAGAATCCAAAATGTTCATAGCAATAGTACTCAGAATAGTCAAAAAGTGGAAACAACCCAATGGTCCATTAACAAATGACTGGATAATCAAAATGTGGTCTCTCATCCAATGGAATATTATTCAGCCATCAAAAAGGCAGGAGGTACTGATACATACTGCAACATGGGTAAACCTTGAAAACATTGTGCTAAGGAGAAAAAGCCAGACACAAAAGGACAAGATTATATGATTTCGTTTATATAGAATGTCCAGAATAAGAATTGTCAGATCCACAGAGACAGAAAGCAGATTAGTGGTTTCTAGGAGCTGAAGGATGGGAGGAAATAGGGAGTAACTGCTAATGGGCCTAGGGTTTCTTTTTGGGGAGATGAAAATGTTTTGAAATTAGACAATGCTGATAGTGGCACTACTTCGTGAATGTACAGAAAACCACTAATTGTGTACTTCAAAAAGGTGAATATGCTATATGACTTTGTCTCAGTAAAATCAACCAATCAAACAAACAAAAAACTAGAACAACAAAAAATCAGAACAGATTTCTAGTATTGAAAAATCCAAGTCCTGCTGAAACCGGTTTGGCTCAGTGGTAGAGCGTAGGTCTGCGGACTGAAAGGTCCCGGGTTCAATTCCGGTCAAGGGCATGTACATTGGTTGTGGGCACATCCCCGGTAGGGGGTGTGCAAGAGGCAGCTGGTCGATGTTTCTCTCTCATCGACGGTTCTAGCTCTCTATCCCTCTCTCCTCCTCTCTGTAAAAAATCAATAAAAAATATATTTAAAAAAAGAAAAGAAAAATATAAGTCCTACTGGGTCATGGTCAAGCAGTGTCAAAATAGGGGCCGGGGGATCAGCTTAGTCTGCTCACTCCTCAGTCCCAGGGAGGTTCAGGCCGTGTCCAAGGAGAATTCCCAGCACCCTGGTCCTCCTGGGGCTGTGGAGCCATCGCATCTTGGAAGTACAGTGCACTGAAATATAACAATGCCTGAAATAACAGTTTGCCAGCTCTCTTAATAGGATTGGGGAGGGGAGGGTGCAGAGGAGATTCCAGTGTCTTAAGTCACTATAATGCTTGTTTTCTCTTTCTCCTTCAAATGTTTGTTTATTTGCATTTAAAAAAATCCCTCCTTGCCACAAGTGAAAGGACTAAACAGGCACCAGTAGCCTGTGGTGGACAAACTACTACTCCAAGGCATGGCTGGGCTTTTTGGCTGCTGCCCCTTCTCAGGGCTCACAATTGTCTAGGGAGGATAACGGAACCGATTCTTGAGCTGAATTTACGGATAAATCCTGACTAAGTCCAGCCCTGAGAATGCACAGACTATGTGGAGCAGTGAGATAATGAATGTGAAAAGGCTCCAGGTAAAAGATGGTTATACCTAAGGGTTCTCTTCTCATTAGGGATCGCAGGATAGCGCACCCCCTCTTCTCTCTCTCTCTCTCTCTCTCTCTCTCTCTCTCTCTCTCTCTCTCTCTCTCTCGTGCGCGTGCTCGCGTGCGTGCGTGTGCGTGTGTGCGTGCTTGTGTGTGTGTGTGTGTGTGTGTGTGTGTGTGTGTATGTGTGTGTGTGATTCATCTTCAAACAGGGACTCATTCCTACTTGGGCTTTTAAGCTTGACAAAGTGTGTGCAATCTAGTTTGTCTGCAGGGTCTGTTTTTCTGTTAAAGATCCCTGAACTTTGAAGTCCCTCATGGAATCCGCCCGCTGCCCCCCCCCCCCTTTCAGCCCCTCTCCGGGTGGGGCAAGAGGGCTGCGGAGTCCAGATGGTGGCGCTCAGGGGCAAACAACCCCCTCTCCCCTACTTCGGCAAGACAAATCAGGAAAACTTACAAGGTGTTTAGCTGAAATTTTCTGGGAGGCTTCTCAACAAGAGCCGTAATTTTTACTAACGGGCAGAAATCCACCCTAGTGACCAAGGCTGTTGAATGAGCAAGTGTGAGAATCTCGCTCTTTTAGCCGGGACCATTAGGATTTCCTGGCCAGAGCTCTGCTTGCCTAGGCACGCCCAGGGAACCTGGATGCCTGGGGAGGAGGATCCACTGTGCTAGGGAACAGCCTGACCCAGAGGGAGATGAAATGAGAACCTCGGAAGGAAATGGCAAGGGAGAATGATCGAAATGAGTTGTGCCTGGAATGGGGGTAGTGGTACTGGTCCCCTGGTGGCTTCGTGGCTGAGCCTCCCTGTGGCACCTCAGCCCCGTCCCACCTCTGAGCTGCAGTTTAGCTCCAAGAGCTTTCCCGTGCTTTGCGCCACCAAAGGAGCACAGGAGCCAGAGCTACTCAACTCTGGTTTCTTTTGAGAAGCAGCGCCGAAGAGAAAGGCTTTCTTGGTGTTTTCCTTTTTTTTTTTTTTTTTTTCCCAATGCAGCATCTGAGCTCCCGCAGCCAGGGTGACTGGCAGCTGGGAAGGGGATGAGCTTCCGCTCTCGCTTGCCCCAAAGCTGTGCTGGAGCAGCTGCCTCCCCTTGTTTCCAGAGTACAGGCTCTATCCCGGCTCCCAGAGCCTGGCTCAGGGAATGTCTCTTCACGCAGAGCACAAATCTTTCCTGGACTGAGTGACCGCAGCCATTGATGCGAAGGATACCAATGGGCTCCTGTCAGCCACAGGAGAAGGGTTACATTCCCTACAGACGGGGGATATGGGGTTTAGATTGGGGTGGAAGCATCCAGCAGCTGTCCCCTGCTACCCTAGGAGTATAGAAGAGTTTGAAGTGCTGTGAGTAAGATGAACCTCTTAAGGAGACTGTGGGGGCATACACCCAGGGTTCAAAGGCCACTGGCCACCTTTCATACTCAGCTGGGGGCTTCAGAGTGGCTTGGGTTGATACTACAATCCAAGGAGGACCCAATGACCATGCTCTGCCGTTTACATTGCTTTGCAGAGTGTTTGCAGAGTGTTTGGAAGCAGAGAGAGAAGAATTTGCCAAACACGCATGCGCAATGGCTGGGGTGTCTGTGGGAGGGAGGTGGATTCTGAGCTTGTCAAAACTAAAAACACCTAGGGAAGGTCTATTCAATAGGGGGTTTCTGACTGGAGGGAAAGCACAAATAAGGCAGTCAGAAGCAAGATGACACCTCAATGTGGATTTGTCCAAGAGGAGGTGGTGACTAAACAGGGGTGGTCAGGAAGGTCTGATTGGCCAGGGGGTGGGATTTGGGGTGGGGCTAGGCCCCTCTAGAGGCTTTAAGAGCTCTACTGGGAGCGGGGCAGCACGCTGTCATTTGCTCTCTGTTTCTCAGAGGGGAAGCAGCTCTTCGAAGCAGCTCCCGGTGACAGAGTAGGTGTTTGCTTTCTGGACTGCCTGGGAGATCCTAACGGTCTCTGGCAGCAACATGGTGCCTACCTTGGCAGTCCCTACCCCATATGGCTGTATAGGCTGTAAGCTGCCACAGCCAAACTACCCTCCAGCACTAATCACTTTAATGTTCTGCTTAATGGTTGTCACCGTCGTCACAGACCTCACTGGGAACTCCTTGGTGATTTTGGCTGTGGGGAAGAGCAAGAAGCTCCGGAATTCTGGTAAGCTACCCTTCCTTCTCTCTATCCAACAGGCAGCCACTAGCAACACCTATGGTGTTAGTTTGTGCACTTGGAACAGGGAATCTATGGACAAGCTCTCACAGTGAATGTCCCTGCTCCCAATTTCCTGAGAATCTGAGCGGGTTATGTTATGCATGGGTCCCATAAATTTAGCGCTTTTCCAGGCGGCGGGAGCTCAGAGATTTAGCTTTGGGAAGCCAAGTGCAAAGCTCGCGCTGTGTGGCGGTTTGCCTGCTAGTCCTGCCTGTCAGGGACCAGATGCGGAGGAACGCGGCACTGTAACGGAGAGTCCGGCAACCACCTGTGGACAACAGGCGGAGCTGGATGCCACTGAGGTGGCCGCGCGGAGCCGAAATGGACGCGGGAGAGCAGCGGGGCTGAGACCCGCTCCCAGCTCCGCTCCGCTCTGGGAAAGTTAAGTTCTAGCGGCTGCCGGCTGGGAGGGCTGCGCAGCGCTTACCGGAGGAAGCACAGCAGCCGCGTCTTTGGGGGACCAAGTCCCCACTCTCCCCGGACCTGGGATCCAGGGTGCCTGGGTAGCTCAGGAGAGCGGAGCACAGACCCCCTGAGCCTGAGTATGGAACAGGTTGGTCTGAGCGCGCGGGAGCCCAGCTCCATCCGCCTGTCCCAGGGCGCGCGGTGGAGAGAGGCGAGAGGCAGGCAGGGCGCAGCCGGCTGCGGCAGCGAAGGAAAAGGCAGCGGAGATCCCCAAATCCGTAAGCAAGGTAGTGGGAGTCGCAGTGCGGGGCTATTGTGATGCTCGGGAGCCTGGGGTTGGACCGAAGACGGGGTTGCCGGAGAGTTGCAGAAGTGCTCAGGAGGATGGTGATGGGCTCAGCGAGTCTGGAGAGTGAGGGGGAGCCGGACCTGTTTGAGCGGGCGAGTGAGACTTCTTTTGCTGCCAGCCGGTGCTCAGGAAAGGGAGCCGGCTGCTAGCAGGATTGCGCGCGCGGAGAGGCGCCGGACGGTGCTGGGGGCTGAGACCTGGGCTGGGGGGTACAGGCAGCAAACATTGCAAAGCGGTGAATCCGCTTTACCAGCCAGTACTCCCGCTTTGCCAGCCGGTGCTCAGAGAAGGGAGCCGGTTGCTCAAAGTACTGCGCGCGGAGAGGCGCAGGAGGATGCCGAGGGCTGAGGGTACAGGCGGCAAGAATTGCAAAGAGGTGAACCCGCTTTGCCAGCGAGTGCTCCCGCTTTGCCAGCCGGTGCTCAGGGAAGGGAGCCGGCGGCTAGCAGGACTGTGCCCGCGGAGAGGGGCAGGAGGATGCTGGGGGCTGAGACTGTACCCCCAGCCCAGGTCTGGGGGTACAGGCGGCAAACATTGCAAAGCCGTGAACTCACTTTGCCAGCCGGTACTCCCGCTTTGCCAGCGGGTGCTCAGGGAAGGGAGCCGGCGGCTACAAGGACTGCGCGCGCGCGGAGAGGCGCAGGAGGATGCTGAGGGCTGAGACCTGGGCTGGGGGAACAGGCGGCAAACATTGCAAAGCGGTGAATCCGCTTTACCAGCGGGTACTCCCGCTTTGTCAGCCGGTGCTCAGGGAAGGGAGCCGGCGGCTAGCAGGACTGTGCCCGCGGAGAGGGGCAGGAGGATGCTGGGGGCTGAGACTGTACCCCCAGCCCAGGTCTGGGGGTACAGGCGGCAAACATTGCAAAGCCGTGAACTCACTTTGCCAGCCGGTACTCCCGCTTTGCCAGCGGGTGCTCAGGGAAGGGAGCCGGCGGCTACAAGGACTGCGCGCGCGGAGAGGGGCAGGAGGGTGCTGAGGGCTGAGACCTGGGCTGGGGGAACAGGCGGCAAACATTGCAAAGCGGTGAATCCGCTTTACCAGCGGGTACTCCCGCTTTGTCAGCCGGTGCTCAGGGAAGGGAACCGGCGGCTAGCAGAATTGCGCGCGCGCGGAGAGGCGCAGGAGGGTGCTGGGGGCTGAGACCTGGGCTGGGGGTACAGGCGGCAAACATTGCAAAGCGGTGAACCCGCTTTGCCAGCCTGTGCTCCCGCTTTGCCAGCGGGTGCTCAGGGAAGGGAGCCGGCGGCTTCAAGGACTGCGCGCGCGGAGAGGCGCAGGAGGATGCTGAGGGCTGAGACCTGGGCTGGGGGAACAGGCGGCAAACATTGCAAAGCGGTGAATCCGCTTTGCCAGCTGGTGCTCCCGCTTTGCCAGCCGGTGCTCAGGAAAGGGAGCCGGCGGCTAGCAGGATTGCGCGCGCGGAGAGGGGCAGGAGGATGCTGGGGGCTGAGACTGTACCCCCAGCCCAGGTCTGGGGGTACAGGCGGCAAACATTGCAAAGCCGTGAACTCACTTTGCCAGCCGGTACTCCCGCTTTGCCAGCGGGTGCTCAGGGAAGGGAGCCGGCGGCTACAAGGACTGCGCGCGCGCGGAGAGGCGCAGGAGGATGCTGAGGGCTGAGACCTGGGTTGGGGGTACAGGCGGCAAACATTGCAAAGCGGTGAACTCGCTTTGCCAGCTGGTGCTCAGGGAAGGGAGCTGGCGGCTAGCAGGACTGCGCGCGCGGAGAGGGGCAGGAGGGTGCTGGGGGCTGAGACCTGGGCTGGGGGTACAGGCGGCAAACATTGCGAAGCTGTTGAACCCGCTTTGCAGGTTGGGTTGGGAGATGGTTCAGAGGGAAAGAGGAGGGCAAAGGAGTCCAAATGCTGCCCTCGGGCCACGGAAGGGAGGGACCAGCGCTGGGGGGGGGGGGGGGGTGTCTCTGGCCAGGTTCTCTCTGGGACCCCGGGGTGGTATTGCAAAAAGATGGAAGCGGGTGGTGGTGTCGGAGGGGTTCGAATATCCACTAGACTTGGGAGTCAAGGCGCTAGGGAGAAGGTGATCAGTCTCTGGGGGATTCTTTTGCTGGGTCAAAGAATCAGAAACAGCGCGCAAGTTTCAAAATGCAGCGGAGGGCACGGAATCATTAAAAGTTTTCCTCTAAACTGTGGTGGATGTGTTTGACTTCCCCTTCATCCCCTGGGGATGCGGACCACACCCTTGACCTCACCTTTACAAGTCTGGTCCCTAGGGGCAGAACCACCCAGCCCAGGGTCACCTGAGAAGCCCATTTTTCTTTTCTTTAATTTTCTTCTTCCCTTTCCTTTTCTCCTTCCTCTCCTTCTATAATTCAAGTAAAGATTTTCATGTCTGGGTGGCTTTGTTTTTAAGACTTTGCCCTCTCTGTTTCCCGCTTCCCTTCGCCTAATTCATTACTTTGAGGGAAACCCTAGAAAAATCCTCTTGGGTGGAAAGCACCCAGGCTAATCGCCCTGGCAGCGCCAGTCAGCATGAGGAGGTGGAGGAGTCTTTCCTTTGTTCTTTGAAAAAATACTCATCCCCTCCACCCCCCCAGTCCCAGATGAAGTGCAGTGTTTTTCGAAACAAGCGCTAATTAGCAATGATGTGTTTCCAGAGAAAGAGCATTCTCCGCCTTCATTTGGCTTCTATTTAAGTTTCTTTCTTTCTTTCTTTCTTTCTTTCTTTCTTTCTTTCTTTTCTTTCTTCTTCTTTCTTTTTCTTTTGCTTCTTTCTTTTCTTTTCTTTTCTTTTTCTTCTTCTTTCTTTTCTTTCTTTCTTTTCTTTCTTCCTTCTTCTTTTCTTTCTTTCTTTTTCTTTCTTCTTCTTTTCTTCTTTCTTTCTTTCTTTCTTTTCTTTCTTTTTTTTTTCTCTTTCGTTCGTTTTTTCCTTCCCTTCCTTCCTTCCCTTCCCTCCTTTCCCCCTTCCTTCCCTTCCCTCCTTCCTTCCCTTTCCTCCTCCCTTCCCTTCCCTCCTTCCTTCCCTCCCTCCTTCCTTCCCTTCCTTCCCTTCCTTCTTTTCTTTCCTTTCCTTCCCTTCCTTCCCTTCTCTTCCTTCCCTTCTCTCCTTCCCTCCTTCCCTCCTTCCCTCCTTACCTTCCCTTCCTTTCTTTCCTTCCCTTCCTTCCCTTCCCTCCTTCCCTCCTTCCTTCCTTCCTTCCCTACCTTCCCTTCCTTCCCTTCCTTCCCTTTCCTACCGCTGCCCTATGAAACTGGAGTCCGACCCCCTACCCCCCTCACTTTCCTGTTTAGCAATGCCTGGTGTAGGGTGGCGAATGTGCTTGTGCGCTCAGAGCCTGGGCAGGCATCAAGTATGCACTTATGCTAATCCTTGAAGGATTTTCCTGATTAAAAAAAAAAAAAGCCCTACTCACTATTTCTTTGGTCTCAGACTAAATTTTACAGGGTTCCCTCTCTTCCCCTCAGCTTTTATTCTTATGTTATATCAGAAATAATAAATTTTCTAGGCTGAGTCTTAGATTCTTGTCTAATTCCGCTGGGAAAGACTGCCTAAAAAAAGGACAGTTCTCTGTGGACTTATTTGCATTAGGATTGCAGTGCTAGGCTAGAGAAGGCAGAGGTCTAATTTTGGGGGGTGCAGGGTATGAAAGCTTCCCGACATTACTCCAATCTCTCCCTCCCCCCACTTGCCATCCTGCTTCCTACAACAGCTTGATCTAGCTCACCTCCACCACCCTTTCCCATCTCTCCCAACACTACCCCCAGGAAAACACACACACACACACACACACACACACACACACACACACACACATTTGCATTTTGCTTTTGTCTAAAACTGTCTCTTTGTGTCGCTGTGTGAGTGTGAAGGGCTCCTCAAGTGGCTTTTGTACTTACTGCTTTTTGAAGAAATAATGTGGACAAAGAACCGGTCTCTCTAACCTGACTGTGCATCAGAATCACCTGGGAGATGTTTGTAAATAAAAAGAAAAACACAACTGTATTTCGTTGAAAGAATTCTAGAATTCTAATTGTCAAGATTCCTCGAGTGTAAACTTGTGTAGTTTTTCATACTTAATCGTTTATTCTTCTCTGTCTTTCCACCTCTCCCTCCCCGAATGTGTTTTTCAGGTAACATCTTTGTGGTCAGCCTCTCAGTGGCTAATATGCTGGTGGCCATTTACCCCTACCCTATGATGCTGCACGCCATGGCCATCGGAGGCTGGGATCTGAGCAAGCTACAGTGCCAGATGGTCGCATTTATCACAGGGCTGAGTGTGGTTGGCTCTATCTTCAATATCATGGCAATTGCCATCAACCGTTACTGCTACATCTGTCACAGCCTCCAGTATGAGCGGATCTTCAGTGTGCGCAACACCTGCATTTACCTGGTGGTCACCTGGATCATGACCGTCCTGGCTGTCCTGCCCAACATGTACGTTGGCACCATAGAGTATGATCCTCGCACCTACACCTGCATCTTCAACTATCTGAACAACCCCATCTTTGCCGTGACCATCGTCTGTATCCACTTTGTCCTCCCTCTGCTCATCGTGGGTTTTTGCTACGTGAGGATCTGGATGAAAGTGCTGGCAGCCCGTGACGCCGCTGTGCAAAATCCTGACAACCAATTTGCCGAGGCTCACAATTTTCTGACCATGTTCGTGATCTTCCTCCTCTTTGCAGTGTGCTGGTTCCCTGTCAATGTGCTCACTGTCTTGGTGGCCTTCAACCCAAAACAGGTAGCAAGCAAGATCCCCAGCTGGCTTTATCTTGCAGCCCACTTCTTGGCCTACTTCAACAGCTGCCTCAACGCTCTGATCTATGGGCTGCTCAATGAGAATTTCCGAAGAGAATATTGGACCATCTTCCATATTATTCGGCACCCTATTCTCTTCTTCTCTGGTGTCATACATGATATACGTGAGATGTGGGAGGCTGGTGGCCTGGCCCGTGCCCATGCCCGTGCCCCTGCCCTTGACCAAGCTCGAGAACAAGCCCGTGGACAAGACCGTGCTGCTCTGGAGGAAATACCAATGAGGGTCCTGCGTGTTCCACTACCTGGTAATGCAGCTGACCAACCTGAGCGTGCTTCTGGCCACCTCACACCAGTCTCTGTTCACTCCAGGCCTGACTGTGCCTACCACAAATCTGTTTCTGACCCCCACAAGTCTGTCATTAGCCACTCCAAGCTCGCCTCTGGCCACCACAAGTCTGCCACTGTCCACCGCAAGCAGGCCTCTGTCCATTTCAAAGATGACTATGTCCATTTCAAGCCTCCCTCTGTTCATTTGAGGGCTGACTCTGTTTATTTCAAGCCTGCCTCCAGCCACCCCAAGCCTATCCCTGGCCACCAAATCCCTACTGGAAGCCCCTCCGAGAGGCTCTTCAGCCCTGCCACCAGCCACCCTATACTCACCACTGGCCACATCAAGCCTGCCATCATTGGTTATCCTCAGCCCTCTGCTGCTGGGCTCACTATGTCCTGCTACCCTGAGCTCACTATGTCTTGCTACCCTGAGACCACTGCTGTTGGACACCTTAAGTGTGAAGTTACTAATCGCCCTGAACCTCTCTCCAGTCCTGCCACTGGCTCCCTCAAGCCTGCTGCCACCACTCACCCTCTTGATTCCACTGTTGTCACCACTGACAGCATTGATTACCGTGATGTTGTGGTTCTTGATGTTGATTCTTATGAAATGGCCATATGAAAAATGCTCTTAGGGGGTGGCCAAGCAATGGTCCACTTTCAAGTGTGTCTAGCCTATGTAACCTCACTGCATTTAAATATAGAAAGGCACGCAAACACTGACTCACAGCCGTGTTGTAAGCTAATTCCATCATTTAAGCATACTTTCTTGTATCACATACTTGTGTGTGTGTGTGTGTGTGTGTGTGTGTGTGTGTGTTTTGTGTGTGTACTTGCTATTTTAGAAGCCAAATTGCCATCAAGTTTGACTTCTGTTGTTCTGAGCCTACCTTTCCTTCTGCTGCTGGCCTTGAACCCACAGTGATCCTTGATATTTTAGACTGATTTTTCCCTACTCCCGTGCCCCCCTTTCTCCCCTTCCCTCATTTCCTCCTCCTTGTTCATGCTTCTTCCATCCTCTGAGGGAGGGATGGCAGAAGAGTGCATGTGCAATGTTGAAGGCTTCTGTAAAGTTAATGTGACCACAGTGCTTTATGTTTCTAAGTGTCTAATTCTATATTGTACATTTAATGACAGTCATAAAAGCAGATGTAATAAAGTACAAGTAATTGAAACAGTTGTTGCCAAATTCCAACAGCAAAATATGATCCATATTTAAAAATAACTTGATAAGCTCTTATTAAAATAGATTTTTATGCTTAGGAGATCAAAGGGAAAAATGAAAGACGTGGCCACAAGGAATTGTTTTTATTTTGTGAAAATTCAAACATCAGTGCTTATTTTTATAGTCAAATATGAATGGAAAGAATGACATGTTTTTACATTTTTTGTAGTCACTTATATTTTTTAGTATCTGCCAGGAATTTTTTTTTTCCATTTAGATTCAGAAAGACACACCCATTCATAAATTGGTTTCTACTAAAATGTAAATTTATGGTTGCTAGGATCAATTATAGTTGGGCTTTTAATATTGTAATTCATAATACACTATATCTCAGAGGTTGTTTTTTTTTTAAACTGACTGATGTTTTCACACAATCAGTTTTTATTTTTCATTCAAAAGGGAATTCAAGGTAATAACTGATAGCCAGAAGTCAATGAAGTCCTTCCATGGAAGTTGTAAATTGGTGTTTCTCTGAAAGGCTTTTCCTCCTGCCTTGTCCCTACCTTGGTTGAGAGGTGGAGAGGAAAAGATGGCGACACCAGCCAACCCCCCACTCCCTTGGTTGAAGTGATAAACAATGTTAAGTTATAGACATCTTGCATCAGCAGACCTGACAGCCCAAGAAATGATTTTTCCCCTAGGGTTCAAGAAAAAGTTGTTTTTTTTTAAATAAAAATTTCAATTATTGATTCAAATTGACATTTATAACAACACTTACTGTACAAAAGCTTGTAAGGATAAGTGGAAATGTGTTATACTGTCTTGATTCGATTCTGTGATTGTGGTAGCAGTTAAATAAAAGTGTTTTTGTGGCTTTGGTGTGCGATTTGTTGATAAATTCTTTTCTTCCACCTGGCTCACTTGTGGGGAGGGTTCAGAGGTGGGTGGAAAAGCATTGACCTTGGGGGAATCAAAAGATTTGTGTGCAAGTTCTATCCCTGCTACCAGCTTGCTACACCCCAAGGCAAGTCACATGACACCTTTCTATTCAGTTTCTTTACTATGGTAGGGTGGGGGGTGTGGAGGGCTCACTCGCTTTAGTGTGTTCTCACTAATGCACTGACAATGGATGAGTGAACCTGTTGCTCTTGGACTTTTGGATCTTGCTTTCCATGGCTTCTCAAAACAGGTCCCTTTTCACCCCCATGGAAGGAGTGAATTCAAGCCCAGTAATGTCACAACCCCAGAGGCTGCTGGGACCACCAAGTGATAGAGCATATGGACCAGTGCAGGGAGGTACAGGATTGGCAGCAGGGAAACAGGTGGTTTCCGTTTCAGCTAGAAGATGGTGGTAAGACCCAGCCACTGGGCAAGACTTCTGATTTCAAGAATATAGTCTCTGGGTCTGGTCAGACTGTTGGACCTCAAAGGGAGGGTGGGGATAAAAGGGAGAGATCAACCAAAGGACTTATGTGCACACATATGAGCCTAACCAGTGGTCAAGGACAATAAGGGGGTTGGGGCATGAGTGGGCAGGGGTGGGGGATTGGAATGGGGGGTTGAGGACAAACATGTGATGCCTTAATCAATAAAGAAGTTAATTAATAATAAAAAATAATGTAGTCTCAAAAGAATCTTTAATGACAAGGGAATACTTAAAATAAACTGTTCCATTAAAGAAAAAACAACACCTGGATATATGCAATAAGATACCAATTTTGTTAAGAAAATACATACACGTAAAACATGCACATATACATAGACCCAGAGCTATGCATATATGTATAGTGGTTTTATTCAGATGTAGCCAAACTGTGAATATAAAGTGAGGTCATCTTAACCTTTCATGCCCAAATTACAGTGGTTCTAGCCCCACCAGAATGACTGCTGCACCTCAGCTGATCGCCTGTGCAAAATTTCTTGCAAGCATTCCTGGACACCCAAAAAAGTTGCTTATTTGTGCTCACAAACTGATCAACAGTCAGTTCCCCCTCCCTCATTCTTCCTCTCTGGCTCTACCCAAGGATCTTTGTGTTGGGTGAGATCACAAGTGTTCAAACCAAGGGTGCTATGTCTCAGTGCTCCAAAATGTTATTCTGCAGGGGCTCAAGAGGTGCAGGGCTCAGAGGAGTTGGAAGAGATAGAAAAACTGTCACTTTTAAAACTTTGTTTCACACTCTGCTCCTAGGTGCCTGAAGCAACACTATTTATGCCCAGAGTACTCACAAAGTCTCATGGAAGCAGCTACTGCAGCCACTGCTTGCCTACAAGCTGCTTTCATCATTTGTGTTTGCCCACCTCTGCCCCACAAGGAACAAGCAGAAGTTCATGCACAGTGCCTTATCAATTCATATATAGTTCTCTACTCCCCCTTCTTTACCCTCTCTCTCTCTCTCCACTTCCAAAATCAAGAAGCCTCATAAACACGTTTCTTGACTTACCATGCCCACTATGAGTGACCAAGGCAAGATGCTGAATTTCTGAGGTCAGGTTTAAGGTGCTTTGTAGTTCTTGCCAGCAAAATGCAAAGTTTCTAGCTTTATACTAGTAAGAATAAGAGCCAGTTTTGCTGACTTTCCCAAAAAGAAAATCTGCCTTCAGGTGAGCCTAAGTCTCCATATAATCAAGAGATTAAAAAAATACAAAGCAACTTTTATATGACAGTTTTCCCTAGTTTCTACTTTTTTCTTTTTAAATGGACATACCCTGTTTCCCCAAAAATAAGACAGTGTCTTATATTAATTTTTGCTCCCAAAGATGCGCTAGATCTTATTTTCAGGGGATGTCTTATTTTTCCATGAAGAAGAATACGTTACACATTTATTGTTAAGTGAAAATAAAGGAAATTTATTACCTATGTACGGTACAGTAGTACAGTAGTTCTCAACACAAACCAGACAAACTGTGAATCCTACAGTATCAAGAATTTACTTATTTATTCAATGACAATCATGTCATCATCTTCTGGAACATCATTATAACAATACAATTCCTGAATTTCCTGGTGAATCTCTTGTGACTCCATTTCTTTCAGAATCAGTGGACCAAATCTCTCATGTTTAGCTTGGGGGGGCTTATTTTTTTGGGATGCCTTATATTTCAGAAGGAAACCTGTAAGTAGGTCTTATTTTCGGAGGATGTCTTATTTTCGGGGAAACACGGTATAATTTATATACTGTCAAATGACAGCTTAATTTTACATACTTATATATATGTATAACCGCCACTATAACAAAGATACATACTGTGACCCCCAAAAGGTAAACACTAACAGCTGATAGCTCAATTTTAAAAATGAAATATATATTAATAAACACTGCCTTTATAATTATTCAAAGTGTGTGTATATACATTTTTTGGGGGACACCCTCTATATAATCCTCCAGAAGGCTCCCTTTTGCCTCCTTACAGTCAACACTACATCCTCCTGCAACAATACAACACTATAGTCCGCAGGCTGAGGCTTTATCCACTGAGAAAAAAAAAAAAAAAAAAAAAAAAAGCACTTCTCTTGTCTCTCTAATTCCCATAAAATCGCTGCCAGGTTGATATTATTACTTCTTTTTTTTTTTTTTTTTTGAGAAGAAGAGATTGAGGCTAACAAAGGTTAATAAATTTGTCTAGAATCACAAAGCTGGAAAGTTGGGCAATTTGAGCCCAGAAATGCTTAGTGAAGGTCAAGTATAGATTTTGAATAGTACTTCCTGGTGAATTCTGTTAAGATTAATCAAACCAGTTTAGCCTAAAGTAACAACAACCATAGCTAATCTTATTTATTTATTTATTTATTTACTTATTTATTTATTATTGATTATGGTCTTACATAATTGTCCTTATTCCCCCATTCCCATCCCAAACTCCTCACTAGGTATGCCCTTTCCAACCCCCGTTGTCCATGGCCACTGGCTAGGCCCCAAAAAACTGATTGTACTGTTCAAAAAGCTGTTCCTAAAGGGTTAACAAAAATTCTTATTGGCAGAGCATCCCATGGTAAAATTGCACAACATGTTATGAACCTAAAGTAGTCATAGTGTAGCACAAATAAGTTAAAATGTAAAAGCTATTAAGACTACAGTATAAAATTTCCAAAAGTTTTCTATTATTTAAAGTAAAAAAGGGGGTGATAGTGGAAGAATATCATGTAAGGAAAAATATCCTGAGAATAATTTACATCTAAAACATTTGTGCTTTAGAAAATTAACCTTCATTCGAAATGCTAATAGCAAGATACCCATGAAAATACACACATGGTGACAAAACAAGTCAGGGGATAATCATTTGGGGGGGGGGGGAATGGAAAAGAATCCCAAATCAAATTTAAAGAAAATATCCCTTTATTAACTTTTGGTCGAGAATATGTTTGTATATTTTCAAAAAACAACTCCGAGACCATCTGGAATCCTGTAACAGAGAGGAATAGACAGAAGCGCTTCAGCCATGAAGACAGAAGAGACACAATTCAGAGATGGAAGATGCTGAGGATGTCTCAGCATAGCAGCAGACAGCAGCTGCGGGTTGCTGAAGGATGCCCAGGACCAAACCAGAGACAGGCGGACCTGCATTACCACCATTTGTCCACCAACAAGATCTGAAATATCATGGCTGGCATGTACACATAAGGAACTATCTGGCATTGAAATTGGGATTCAAAAGAACTGTTGGCTCAGAAAGGAACTCACTACAGACTGATTCATTTGCCTCTCAGCATAACCATTATGGCTTATTGCAGTTTAGGTTCTTACAAGGGTATTTCTTGGATCACATGATCTCACACATCTAGAGGAAATAATGAACAACGCAAACAGACCCAGAGAAAGAGAACCAGTGATCAGACTCTCAAACCTCAGAGGGAAAGTAAGGGAGGATGGGGGTAAGGGGAAGAGATCAGCTAATCTTATTTCATAATTTATATATGCCAAGTACAGCATTCAACAACTTATCTAAGTTATGATAATTAATACTGAGAATGAATATAAAAGTTTGTACTCTCTACATTTTCTCTGACACTGCTATTTACTTCACTACCCACATTGAATCCACAGGCTTCATCCAGGACGCCCACCTCACCCACATCAATTTGGTTTAT